AATAGAATTGTCACTGATTCTCTGTAATTCTTGTTTTTAAAATAAGTTTTTAAGCTAACCAAATATGTTTCCTTGTTTTGCTTAATGAAAATAACCTTGGTTATAATGAGAAAGTGTCTCCTTTAACTCTGTCCAATGACCTGCCTAATGGTGAGAAGCCTGGTTCAAATGTTTGTACATGATGAAACCAAGCAAAAGAAAAAAAAAGAAAATAATACACAACTGTTGCTTCCTTACAATTCTGAATGAATTAACTTTTCTGTTGTATCCTTTGGATACCTGCTGTGTATTAAATCTAGTGCTGAACAATGTCTTCTTCCTTTGGTCTATGAATGGGGTTTATTTAGGTACATTATTGGTCCATTTGCTGTCATATATTTCATTAAAAATGAAAGGAACTGCCATGTGTTGATGATGCAGTTCAGTCGCTTTTCCTTTCCTTGCTCCAAGGGGTACAATGCTGTTTGTCAGTGGAAAAGAGGCGTGGAGGAAGAGGGCATTGTTAGAAAATTATGTGAGAGGAGAAAAAAACAAGCAGAACAATATTTGAGTGTACAGATTGCCCCTGAACTCTATAACAGATCTGTGGCTTGCATTCCACAGCATAAGCTTTGCATGTGGGCAGAAGCTGAGTACTTCAGAAAAGACTCTAAGTCAATCTGCTTTAATTTAAGGCCAAGTGTGACTTTCTTCTTAATATTCTAGTCCTGCAAGGGTTCAACTGCCAGTTAATTACATGGTCGTTGTAAACTCTCTAAAGGATCAGATACCAGGTGGGTGAAGTAGGAGGAGGAATCAAGTGAAACTGCCTCTAGGAAGGTAAAAATGTACAATGTTGTAAGAGTACAGAGAGATACCGTGGGCTTCCAGCAGCATGAAAATCCTAGCTGGAATACCACAAGAAGCTAGATTCTCTGCTCAGATACTTGTTAGTAGAGGCTTTCTAATTTCAAGCAGTCGTTTTGTTTGAAACCCTTGAGACAGAGATAAGCTCTGATCTCTGTAAGTCAGGTTTCAAAGCTGTAAGAAAAGATAAAAGGAGTAACATCCACTGAATTATCCCAAACCCAAAGAGAGCCAGAATTCATTCATGAGGACAGATTATTCTAGAATACAAACATGTTTCTGCTTTCAAATGAGTAACATTGTTACTATTCAAATTGCCATCATTTAACATTTACACCTCTGCAAAGAACATAAAGTCACTACCCACCTTGTCTGTTTGTAGACAGCACCTGATGTTACTTGCTGAGCTTCCTACTGTTCTGAAGGGTTTCCTCTGCAACTCGAGGAACAGAAAGACTTTCAGGATATTTATTGCAGACAGAGAGTAGCAGGGCTCTTTCTCATCCAAGCTGCATGTGGTTTGACAAGCACTGATGCAGCCTACAAGGCATCTGAGGGAGGATTTCTGTATGTTTTGCATCTACCTGGAATAGAGAAAAGAAAGCAAAAGAGTTGGAATGACTGTTGCAAATTTAGACTACAATTTGTATTAGCAGCTGTTACAAGTAAATAATTTAAGTGACCTGGGCAGCCAGGTGCTTTTCTGGAATCAGCAGGTCATCTCTGCCTTAAAAGAAACTAAAAAGTTAAGAATACCCCATTTGTGGTCAAACGATTCCAAGGAATCAGCTGCTTTGCAGGTGCTGGAGGGTAAATTGACAATGAATGTGATTTTTCTTCCCAACTTTTAACTGGGAAAGAAGGTAACAAAACCAGCAAGATATGTGTATGTTAGAACTGAAGAGTTTTTAAGAGAAAGCACTTATTTCAGAACTTCTACAGGCCTGTGGTGAGATTCATCTCCCCTAAATAGAGACACTCAGAGTGTGAACGTGTACATCTAACCTGGTTGTCTTGGCTTTTTTTTTATTGTTAGCAAAAGATAAAGACGTATCTAGGGTGCAATTCAGGGGCTGTTAGAGGAGAAGGACATCCAGACATTCCTGCCTCCCTGCACTGCTGGCAGAGGAGTCTGGTGACTTCACTCGGGCACCAAGACTCCACCAGAGCCTTCAGATCAAATCCCACCCCGGTGCCTCCTGCCCAAACCGCGTCCGGCGTCCCACGAGCTGCGTGTGCAGGGCTGTGTGAGCGCAGAACCTCCCCTTCCTCCTCAGGGGATGGAAATCAAACAGCTGAAACGGTCACCGTGGCGGGAGCAGAGTTCAGGCCCCCACGGGGCAGCGCCCTGGGGGGAGCACGGCCCTGCCAGGCCCTTCTCTCACCCACACCTGAGGCGTTATTTGCTGTCGAGGGCCCTGCCCGCACAGGCCGCCCGGGCCTGCACCCCCCACAGCACCTGCTGCCAGGGCGGGGAGGGGCGGGCAGAAAC